AGTACCTGAGATATACCGCAAACAATTTAAGAAACATTGTTAAGTGTTCGAAATGTATTAGTTTCCGAAAAGCATTAGAAACTTACTAGCCTTAAATGACTTCAGCAATTTATATTTGTGAGGTTACAGGTATCTGTCCGAAAACCGCATGGTTTCATTCAGTATCTCCCCAGGAAAATCTTGCGAAATTAGCTTAAAATTCTCCACGAACACTTACATTCTCAACCCCCGATTGGGGGACTGCCGGAATACGTTACTGAGGCCAAAACCATCCCAGGCCGATTAATCAAAAGGTTATATTTAATAAAAATATTTAAACATAGAAATAAAGATAACAAAGACACCTTTCAGTCAAGCCTCCCAGGGCTCAGTGTCCGGTTGGGTATACGACTTGAGACGTCAAACCAGACCCCCAAAACAGACCTGCCTTCAGCCTTTCTCCTCGAGTCGTTCACTCCCGACGTAAACACACAGACTGGTCTGCCCTGCTGTCCCATCATAGTCTCGAAGCCATAGGCTCCAAAGAACGTCGAGAGGGGAGATAGGCCACTTCGAGCCTCAATTCGCATCCCCTTTATCCATCGTTCACAATTTACCGATGCCAGGTTAAAAGCACGTAAGTTACGTGTTCACATTTCTATAAATTTATTAAAAGCGTCAACATGATTTGTAAGGACTTTCCGAAAATTGTTTTTCGTAAACACACATCTCTTCGCATTGGAACCGGTGAATTTTTCAGTAAAACAAACTGAGCCCATAAAATGCCGACGCATTAATAAAGGAACGAAAAAACTTCGTATCTTCTGAATGCGCATCTGCGGTAAGGACAAGCGAGGATAGGTTAGGTTTCCGTAAACAAACCCACATCCCGAGTTTAAATGTTAGAGGGGCGATCTACTACAAACATTTAGAAGGAAAAAAAAAGTGAGGTTTACACAGTTTACGAAACCCAAATGTTCATTAATTTGTTAGGGAAACTCTCATTATTCCTCCCCTCTGTCTCAACTACTGGCATGTCATTCATCACCCAATTCGTTCCAAACTTTCACCTGCTTGTATACGTAGTGCAAGAGTGGAATGCATTGCTCACTCGGAAAAGTAAACACAGACGGAAGTAGACAGCAGGCACAAGGGGGGCACCGATCGAGGCCTGAGCAGTCAAATCGCCCAAGTGGACGGGTGAACTGAGAGGGCGTGTGACCAATCAGGGAACAGAGAGGAAACGGATCACTAATGAACAGAGTCGGCGGGGCACGGGGCCGATTAAGTGGGTTAATCAATCACAAACGCGGATTATTAAGGAAATCGCAATGCAACCCGCAAAGTTCTAACAACGATGTATGTTTTCTGTCTGTCGTCTGCCTTCAAGCAGTTCATCAGACCAGAGTAGGTTCAAGACAAACAAAGCATCGCATTTGTGTTTCGCAGGCCGTAACGTAAACTTATCCCACAGAAGGGTTTTCAATCCGAGGCCCGCCTACATTCTCATCACGTACAGGTGTGTGATAAAAAAGATAATAGTTTCAAACAGTTAAAATATTTTATTTTTGATTATACATTAATCAAAGTAAAATACAAATGTTTAAAGAGAGCCGAAAGATACGTCAACCTGTTCGCCTGGCAGAGCTTTTAATTGTTTGTCATGACGTTTCAATAAATAGTCCTCATTTGTTATCTAGAGGACGTGAAATCGATAAGAACACTGCCGAGTATTTTCCCAGGCCCTAAAAAGTAGAGCATCAAGGTTCGAAAAAACTTATCCAAGTTAAATCTTCCGTTACAAACAAATTACATTCTTTTGTTTTTAAGAAACAACGACCAAGTCAAACAGAAATATCTTAAGACACTTTATTATTTTTCTACCAGCTACCCCCCTGGCAGTAGAACACAAAATGTCTGTGACACTAATATCAAATCTCGCCAACGGAACCTACCCCAAGCCAGTTCTATCCACGTTCCAGCCACCCACACAACATTTCCCAGTACCACTTCAGTATTTTATTTTCTCTCCATAACGAACACCAACTAATAAATATCCTGCAGATTCGGTGAATTTATTCTGTCGATAGCACGAGTCTGACTCATTTTGTTCTCGACTGTACAGCTGTACGAGATTACCCGCATAAATTACAAAGTTTCAACATCAGATTTCAGGTTCTCACGAAATTGAAGACGTGAGAGGGCCCCCTGTATTGTGACGCCATGTGCACATGTAGGTGCTCTGACTTCAACACTGAAGATAGAGGCAGCATATTCCTCACAAAACATTGGTATCTACCTACAAGTCTACATGACGTTACAACCAAGGAGACCAACGTCGCTAACTCCGTGAATTTAAGATCCACGTTAGTTTTAAGCTGTGATAAACTAGTATCTACGGGTAAAGAGTATAATTACGCGAAATATTTATCAAACTAGTGGCAGTATCAAATAAGGAGACATGAACTGAAATTAGGATATTATGAGCTTTAAAAACTTTCAAGTGCTCATTAGCTCAGCTAAGGCTTTCCACGGGTGACGACACCTACATACACCACTCTACTATAACAGGCAAGTAAGCTGCTTAAGACACGGGTCATTACGTGGCGAAGTCAACAGCGGAAAATGCGAACACAAACTGACAATAACGTAACTAATAGTTTGGAGCACTTAAAGAGATGGCCAATTAAGATCGAAGCATGTAGTGGATTCTTAATGAACACTGAAACTATAATAACAAATTGCTGTGTAGACGCACTAATAAGTTTAAGACTTGAGATTCTCACAGCGGTGAGTATGAAGATATCCGTCTTCTGGGTTATTGCGCTGTGTAGTGTGGTCGATGTTTACCAACGTTTCAGAGGTCATACTGCCCTGATTACGGAGGCAGTATGACCTCTGAAACGTTGGTTAACATCGACCAGACAACCCAGAAGACAGACCAGAAGACGGAAATCTTCATACTCTGATGACGGAGGCAGTATGACCTCTGAAACGTTGGTTAACATCGACCAGACTACACAGCGCAACAACCCAGAAGACAGAAATCTTCATACTCTGATGACGGAGGCAGTATGACCTCTGAAACGTCGGTTAACATCGACCAGACTACACAGCGCAATAACCCAGAAGACGGATATCTTCACTAATAAGTTATTTTCTAGGGCATCCTGAATGCCTGAAAAAAGGCGTGGAACGCGGTGTTTGCAGTGAGACATAAAATTAGACCTCAGAGACCACGCGACTGAGTTTATTTTACATATCGGGAGCAACTTCTACTTTCCTCCAGTGCTCTGAGCAATGAAATAGCAGTCCCAAGCGCTGACCTACTTCTGTTTACGGCGTCTCGCACACGTGTGTGTCTTAGGATCGCTCCTAACTTAGTTTTCTTTTGCACGTACACACACTATATATATATATATATAATCGATGGGATCCAGAGTCATTTGCCCCTCCCACTAGCTGTCTAGTGGTTGAAACCGCAATCAAAATTGATATTTGAGGCGTGCAAGGCAAGTTTGAAGCTAATTGGGTGTGGTATGGACAGGTGTGGATACGTGAACACAGAAATAATCACTCGGAACCAAAGTATAACAATATCCTCGCTGTGTTTAATCCAATTGAAAAAACTCCAATAACACAGAGGATTTATGACTGCCTAGGAATATATCAGGAACATTATTTTAAGTTCTGTACTTTTCTTTTTGTAAAAGGATGTAACCTAACGTCTAAAATCACACATTACTTATACTATCTGAAGAGGCGCGTCCTCTGATCTTACAATTTCGTCTCGAACTGATTATATTTAATTACCGCCCCTTTTGAAGCCAAGTTTTCCTCCGACAAATTTTATTATTACCAGTAAATATTAATAAAATTCAGTTTGTGTCTTGTATCAGTTTTTTAGAATTATTCATCAGCTTCAAATAATCCAACTATATTACGTGCTAGTACATTCAAATAATATATCAAACAATAAAATGGAATTCCTCACTAAATTTTTGAATGCTATTCTTGCTTCTTCAAGCGTTTCACAGTTTTATCCTGGCATGCGTTAGTTGAACTCAGATTTTGAGTACACATTTTAACCTTTTCAGTGCTTTGCTTAAAGGAATATTGGATTTACGAGGAGAGTAAACTTTATCCGCTATCTCTCAAACTAATAATACGCTTTTCAGCAATATAAATTGTACTTTACATGCTGGAGGCAACATTAAAAACAACACTGAAATGGAAAGGGTTAAGGTCGTGATGTTATCAGAAAACGACGCATGTAGAGGAACTGAACAGGATGGTAAAATTACGAAAATCCCCCAACGAATTGTACCAATCTCGAAACTGGTAAGTATCTGTAACATTAAACTTCAATACGTAACTCATACGCCCCCCAAGGTATGTATCAGTTTCACGGTTAAGAAGCAGGAAAGTTATTTGAGGGGGTGCACGCGCCGCGATGTATAGGCAACTTCTCCGACACCTGTAACGTGCGTGTAGTAGAAACGAAATATGGCAGGCTGGAGCGT